TGCATGTGGGCTGCAGAGATGGCATCCTGGAAGTCCATCAGCTGTACTGGTGAAATTATTATTATGATTTTATTTTTTATTCAAGTTTTCCATGTAATTTATTGTTCTTTAAAGGTCCAAGATCACACAACATTGACTCTTGTGAGCTTTAAGCCATGTTAGAATGTGTTACCATGTGTGAATGAAACAAAACACAACTCCACGTCTGTTTGTGATGAGGAAACAACATTATAACATCGATCATAAAATAGTATGGGCCCTTTAATTTGCTCTTTATTAGTGTTGGTTGAACAAAATTGACCTGGATGTAATTCATAACATACTGTATTCTTCAGACTTGCGATATGCTCTTGATCTATAGTTTAGAGTGGGTTGAGCGATGGAGCCGTGCCCTCATCCTTATAATCATCCATAAAGCCACATTCCTATTAAAAATTCCACATCTGATACTGTACTTCCTGTCTTTGTTATTAGACCCATCCTCACACACACACAGTTCCCATAACCCATTTCTTCACAGCCTGCAGACAGTCTGGGCACTAACTCAGTGCTCAATACAGTGCAGCTCTTTTTTTTTTTTCTTTCAGAAGATGCATGCGGCTTCAAATCTGTTGCTTAAGTATTCTTTCTTCCAAATACTGAGATGATATTTTCTGTAGATGTTATGAATATTTTTATATTGGGGATATTCCCCCAAATGAAGTCATCAGATCCAAGACTTCCTGTGTGCTGCTCACAAACACTTGTGTTACTGAACAGTGCATTGCCCTGACATTTCCTAGGGCACCAAACATTCAGAGGTTCATTTCAGTATTCTAATATTATTTCAAAATAAAAGTTCTTTTTAACAAACCAGTGTGTTGTTTGCATATACTTTGACATCTTTTGGATGCCATGTGCATCCTTCTTCAGATGGGTCACGTGATGTTACAGTGATGTGTCTTGTGGCTGATTTACACAGATTTCGGCTCATTTTCCTGCCTGCATTAGGGAAATAGTGGATCTGACAAACGTTAGATTAAGGAGGTTATTGAGATCCGCCCACAGGACAGTAAACAGGGATGAGTTGGCCTATCAACTTTCAAGGATCTGGTCTGCTGTCCTGGAGAAGTGGGACTGTGTACATCAGGTGCAAAACAGAAGATACAGTATCTGAAACATGTGAAGGTGTAAACAACATACTTTCTGTTAAAAGAACCTTTATTGGGAAACAAAACATATATGTTCTGTATTTGTTAAGGTATAAATGATGTCTTCATAGAGAAATGTACCTGCAGGGCTAGTGGGCAATTACATTAGAGCACCCAGGGACCCATCTCCAAATGGCCTCGGTCAGGACCTCTCTTCAAACACTAAAGGGAAGAGCACCACATACAGTTCTGTACCAGGACTGAGAAGGAGGCACCAAAGGGGAATGCCTGACTGAATTGTACCAGGAAAAGTCATGTATAACTAAATAGGGACTAATGGAAAATGGACAATTGAGCAATACCTTAATAGTTACAATGCAAAGCATCTAGAACAGATATTCAGATTGGTTCTTTAGTTTTAAGATACTATATATAAATATACTATACTTTACACATTTACTGGTATACCAACTATGAATTCAAAACTGTAACAGACAAAACAATCGTACATGCTTGGGGCTGTTTTTTTCCCCATCCCTGTGATGAAGATGGAACACAGCGCTCTATAATACCTCCACTATCACCACAGATGGGAGCAAGGGCCTCTATAGCTCTAGGCCTGCTCTGTACAATAGGCCCTCTCCCCAAGAGACTGCTCCCTCTACCCCTGCACAAAGCTGAACTCCTCCACTGCACCTGGCATCCCACTCACTCAAAAAACACAGCACCCCAATTCACTTTACCCCACTAAAAACATATTCACATCACCAGGGAATTCTATTAGAGTTTAATTAATTAATAAATTTATTGTGATTTAACGATAATTAACGATTACTGACACCATGACCAAACAACTATGAAAGTATTAATTTAATTTTATTCACAGTCTGATATCAAGTATGAGTATAAGAACACTTCTTCAGTACTTTACAGAGATAGGCATGATTGACAGGTGGATTAGCCCATCAGTGAAATGCACAGCCTGTCCATATTAAAACAAATATGACTGCTTACCAGGAAAAAAAATATCACAAGGGACTGAAAATTTTTGATTTCTACAGAATCAATGAGCAAAGCACTAAACTCTGTTAATCTGAGGTCAGAGAAATGTGATTTTGTTAAAAATGACAGGTGAGAAATTGTTTAACACGCATCACTGAAAAACAAATCTGACTGGACGATGATGTTTCGTTGTGGCCTGAGATGAAATGGAGGGCAGAGGTACATCAGTCTGGACTTAGTCATGATTATCAGTTAACCTAATAATCTTGACATCCTACTCGTGTTGCTGCTCTGGATTCATTTGTATAATTTTTCAGCTCATAGTTCAAATGGTGGTAACTTATCTTTATCCTTGGCCCTCCAGCAGAGATCATATAGGAATGCTACAGCCCAGGATCATGTCTTCTTTGTGTGGATGGAGAGTTCAGCTGACAGCACAAGCCCTGAGGCTAAAATAATGATCAGATTATTTTCAAAAGGGATTTCATTGTGGCTGTGGCAGTGGTTTTAGTTACTCCAGGAAGTAGTCCATACCAAGAGATCTCAAAGGAATCCGGTATAATAACAAGTATCTACGTAACTTAACTTAACACGAAAATCTACCTTTATTAGCAAACTTTTACTAACTATTTTACTCTATACATTTATCACAAAGATGAGATAGAGAGACATGGATGCCTTTATGTGCCTTGCCCAAAGACACAGTGACAGTGTGTAATAACAGAAGAGGAGATTTAACCTTCAACCTTCAGAAAACATCAACTGTTCCAACACCACAATCTGACCAGAGTGACTAAAGTGACAATGACATCATGAGGAGAAAATGGTTGACTTCCTGCCTCGGCCCAGTCCATGTTATTTACACTAATTATACAGTACGAGAGGCTCACCACATGCCCCGTAATTGTCCCTGGTGCAGTGGGCAGAGTGGGTTCTGCCAGCTTTGTTTATGCAGAGAGAATTTGTGTATTTATTTTATGTCATTGTACTTGTAGCGTTTATGTTATTCTTGAAAAGCCATGCTCCACTACACTGCAAGAACCATGCAATAATCCTATTTTTGAAGACTTCACAAGTGAAAATGTAATGTGCGCTATGAAACTTGTCTTCAGAGATGGTATTGCTTTGCCTGGAATGTTCCACAGTATGGCATTAAGTGTATCTATACCTCCATGGAGACTAGCAGGGGATGCCACCAAATCAAGTGGGCAATGATTTCCGAGATTGAGGATTTAAACCTGGAACAAAGAGACTGTATGGTGGATTTTATCAAGGGGAAAGACGTTATCGCTTCTTCCTCCCAGATTTGGCGCATTACATACATCATGACCAAATAGCAGCGATTGGTTAAATAAAAAAAGTACCTGCCTAAATTTGGGCATATAAATTCATTTATTCAATTGTTTTCAGTTGGACAGTTGTGGTTTGAGTCAAAAGGCAAAGCTCTTGATTTACCGCTCAGTCTACATTCTGACCCTTACCTATGGTCATGAGTTCTGGGTAATGACCTTAGGTGAGTGAGGGTGGCTTGGCGCTCCCTTAGAGACAGGGTGAGGGGCTCAGTCATTTGGGAGGAGCTCACTGATGCCTGCTGGACGTCTCCCTGCAGATGTGTTCCAGACACAAGACACAGGACGCCCTGGGTAAGACCCAGGACGTGCTGGAGGGACTATGTCTCTTGTGCCTGGATCAATCGGGAGGAGTTCGAAGATGCCTGCTGGATGCCTCCCTCCCCTGATCCAGGCACAAGCCACAGGAAGCTCCAGGGAAGACCCAGGACACTCTGGAGGAACTATATCTCTTGGCTGACCTGGGAATGCCTCGGATCCTCCCAGAGGAGCTGGAGGAAGTGTGTTTGGAAAGGGAAGTGTGTGCCTCCCTGCTCAGACTGCTGCCTCCAGAACCTGACTCTGGATAAAGCAGAAGAAAATGAATGAATGAATGAATAACATTTTTTTAATTACTCAGAAATACTTTGCCAGTATAGAGTGAGTGGATCCTCTTTCCTCTGATCTGACCTTTAACTTGACCTGACAGTGTCCCTTGTTGATTTCCATTTTTTTAACATTCAAAACCCTGCACATTTAGACTGAATCTTGCGTAACACAGGACCTTTAACATCCAAAGTCTAAACCACAAGTGTCCCTGTTTCAAATGCTAAAATAAGACCACATCATTTCTTTCGTTACGCGTTAATCCGCTTGTCCTCCACCATTTCCTCTGGGTTCAATCAGCAACAGCACCTGGACTGAAGGGAGCACGCCACACCACAGCACGCCACAGCACACTACACCACAGCACAGCACAACCGGGCAGATGTCTCCCTCCTGAATCCAACCAACCACACACAACCGAACCGAAAACGTCAAAAACACACTGACCTACATCCTCTCCTCCTCTCCTCCTCTCCTCCGCGCGTTTGTGTGCGTGTGCGTGCGTGCGTGCGTGTGGGTGGGTGTGTGCCCTGGCAGCCTGCAAGAGGAGCGGAGCGCGGTGGAGCAGGTAGTCTATTGGCGGAGGAGAAGGAAGGCGAACCGAGCCGGTGCGTAAAAGCGACTGCTCCATCCATTCTGTCGCCCCGTCTCTCCACTCGAAACGCTTTTGGATGCTACAGTTTCCATGAACGCGGCGTGGGGACGTTGTGTTACCCGGGTGTGACGGGACAGCGTGATCGGACCGGGGAGGAGGTGAATGGGAAGGCGGCGGAGGGGACACAGACGGACCGCTACATCCACGACGAAGAGCAGAGGCGATTGCTTTTTGCACACAGCGGGGTGAACCTGCGACATGGAGTCATTTTTCACGGAGGTAAGCTTTATTTATGACACAAATAAACGTTTTCAATCGCTCCACATCTCACGCGTAAAAATGGGTAGCGACGCGGGGTTGGATGCTGCAGATGCCGGTTTGATTTCCTTAGTCACCTCGCAGGCTCTGGCCCAGGTGTTGTCTAAAAATTCCATCGAGTACCACGCGTCCCACACCCCCAAAATCCGGCAAATTTCACGTTTTATTGCGAAATGGCTTTACGCATTCTACGCAATCGAAGTAAATTGGCCAAACGAGAGCTGACAGCGGCAGTGCAGCTGGATTAACCACAATCTGTTAACAATATGCTGGTGTTTCTTGTGGCTACATGGGAGTGGGATTGGATCATGGGGCAGGTGGGTCGCAGCGAGGAACCAGACAGTGGATAAGGGGAATGGGCCAGGCTTTACGCGGGGAGTGGAGCTCGTTTTGGGGCTTAAAGAGGAGGAAGAGGGGCCTGTAGACTTGGATCGTTGACAGAATGGAGCAAGAAATGATATTGGTAAAGAGGTGTCTAGCTAGCCTGGTTGGAAAAATGCTATATTTATTACCATTGCGTGTTAGAGCTGCAAAATGAATCGCAATTGCATCGAATTCGCAATATGAATGAACGCAATTAGCATTTTTTTAGCCATAAACAACTAAATATCTTGTTTTAATCTGCATAAAGACTGATATCCCTGTATTTCAGGTTTGTAATGTGATTCTTTTACTAGTTTGGGCTATTTGCTCTTTGCTAGTGGTGGGACTTTCTGCTTCTTTATTGGGTCCGAATCTTTGGGATCTGTTCGTTTCAAAAATCTGTCTACATTATAACAGAAGCCAATGTGCTAACTCATTTTATTTACAAACTAATCGCAGAGAGAAACGACAGAGGCTTAGATTTGTTGAAAATGGTTCTAACTGAGAGTGGAAGTGTGTCCATTGACACTACCATAAAACATTTTTTTTTTTAAACAAACTGTTATTATGAGGCCAAATATGTTTTTTTGTGCATAAAGCACTCATTGGTGGTGCTTACTCTGCTTCTGTGCTGAGTCTTGTGCTGGTTTAGTGTTAATGAGTGTAAAAACATAGCCTGATTCATCAGCTGGTTTCACTTTGTGGAAACCGTCTGACCTTGCAGCATTAGGATTCGTTCGCTCGATGCTAGACAGGTACTTTTTTAATTTAACCAATCGCTGCTATTAATTTGGTCGTGACGTATGTAATTTGCCTCTAACGGGGCTAACTGGTATATTAAGCTTTTTCCAAATCCCGTAGGAAGAAGGGCAATAATGTCTTTCCTCTTGATAAAATTTACCAAACATTCTCTTTGTTCTGACTTTAAATCCTCGATCTCGGGAATCGTTGCCAACACAGAATATATGGCTCTTCGCTGATTGGCTGGTGACTGGACTCCCACTTATGGGGTTTTTGTGAACCATTTGGTGTATTCCAATTCCTGACCTAGTTGCTGGAAAGAAATGAAACTGACCGGAGGCATTAGGTGGTGCCTGCATAAATACATAAAAAAGAAAGAAAAATACCTGGTTCTTTTAATAAGATTAAAAATAAACCAGTTTCCAACCATTCATTGTCTGGAATGTTTCACAGTATGGCATTAAACCTTTCTATCTTCATGAAGATCAACTTATAGGTCTGATCTGTGGAGAGGCAACCCCGCTCACAGTCAGAATACATGTTTTTCTAGGTATTTCGAGCAGTAAAACCACCTGTGATTTCATACATTTAAGATAGAGCTGTTTAATGTCATACTGTGGAACATTCCAGGAAAATCAATAACATCTCCATGGAGACAAACAGGTACGGGACCCACCACCAGAAAAGTTATGCAGTGCACCTTCAAGGAACCATCCAAAAGAGCTGACTCCTTTGCAAAACACTATTCCTAATTCATCTGAATGTGTTTAAAATGTGAACTTTGAACAGAATCCCAGCACAAAATGGAAATCTGACCTCAATCTCCATGCTTGTCTGAAAAAAAATCACAATTTGGACATTTTTACCAAATCGTACTCGCCATCGCATGTTCTCGTAGGCCTATGTAATCACTATAGCGCTGTATATTAGCAAGACACCATTCCATCTGCCAGTTTTGTTAAGTGCTGATTTGTGTCCACATGGTCCCCCCTCTCGTTCACAGTATCCGCCCCTTCCACACAAGCTCCTTACCCCCCTCCCCCAGTTAATCTGATATGGCTTTAAATGTCTCTCATATACGGGCAGTGGGCTATATGATGTCAGACCATTTTGTGTTGAACAGCCGGAGCTAGAGTGTGTTGTGTGATTTGTGTTTTGGTACGAATTCAGAGCTTGTATGTCAAAGGATCTACAGTATATCGTATATCGTTTTCTTTATCTACAGTATGTTGTAATGTTGTTTTCTCATCACAAACATACCTGGAGCTGTGTTTTGTTTCATTCACAAAAACCTTGCATATTTAGGCTGAGTTCATCAGATGAGCTCAAACAGAAAGCACTTTTTTTTTTTTCAGTTTTCAAACTACATACACCTTCACTTCAGCCTCAAAAAAATTGCCAATCTCTACTGAATTACAGGTAAATGGTAGCTGTTAACTTGAAAACTGCGCAACATCACAAGATGGAACAGAGCATTTTGAGTTTTGGAGATGTAGACAGACTTAATGCCTCCATTCAATTTCATTTCTCTCCAGCAACTAGGTCAGGAATCAGAATACACTACTAGACCGTTTGCAAGAACCCCGGAAGTTGTAGACTGTGCACCGGCCAATCAGCGAAGAGCTGTGAAGCCATGACGTCAAACTTAAGCGCCTGTCTGGGTCCCTTTTGTGATACAGCACAACAGTAAACAAAGAGGTCGAGATGGATGTAGACGAAGACAGACATTATGTGTTGGCAACGATTCCCGAGATCGAAGATTTAGAGCAGGAACAAAGAGAATGTTTGGTGAATTTTCCTTCTTCCTACAGGATTTGGTGCATTACATACGTCACGACCAAATAGCAACGATTGGCTAAATAAAAAAAGTACCCACCTACCGTCAAGTGAACAAATCCTAATGCTGCGAGGTCAGACAGTTTCCACGAAGTGAAAACGTCTGATGAATTAGGCTAGTAGACAGACTATAAACCACGGTTACTCAAACATGTGTGAATGAAACAAAACAGAACTCTGGTTATGTTTTTTGGTGGAGTTAACATTAGGGATGTAACAATATCCAAATCTCTCAGGTACGATATTATCACAATATGCATCTCACAGCAAGATATTTATTGTGATATTAATTTGAGGTTAATATAATTGTAAATGGGACAATTTTTGCTTTTAAAATACCTTGACAACATTTTGGGATCTGTCATAATCAGAAGAATTCAAGTAAAAAACATATTTCTTCATGTTGTCTGCACTTGAAATGAATCATGGACTATGTAGTTTCTGATGTTCATAAGCTGTTGCTACTGTAAAATCATGCATTTAAGCAAAGGAACTTATAATTCGATATATTGTCTATCCATAATATTAGTTTGAGACTTTTGACGATAAGATATCATGGTATTTTGCTTATTGTTACATCCCTAGTTAACATTACAACATGACTTAAAGCTCACAAGAGTCAATTTTGTGTAATATAGGACCTTTAAATGTATCTTCACTGAATGATGTCAAGCTGTTTTTTGAGTGTCCATTGTGTGATTTGTGTTTTTGGAAGATCAGGATCATTTTGGTTATGAAAAGTGAATGCTGTTCGCCTGATTCAGTTGTTTAAGGAGACATAAAATTGTGTCTAATTGATTTAACGAGCGTTTAATCATGTTGTAACAGTGTTCCCTCATCATTAGCTTAATCAGAGTTGTATTTCAATTTATTCAGGCATGCATGAGTGCTCGGTTTAACTTTTACATGATATTTTTTAGGCAAAATGTTGGTGCCAGATCACAATTTTATCACGATTCATGTGAGCTTAGTCATCTACGTTTGATCCGTCATCCACTTCTTCTGAAAATTCACACTTTTGCATTTACTCTAATCCAGCTGTCACTTAATCAGAGCATGACTTGAGGCTGACCAATTTATACATCGCAGTGACATGACGCTGGGGGAGTACTGCGTGTATTTCTAGGGCGTAATGTTCAGCATTTACCATTAGCAGACACAGACAAATAACTTTTTAGATCATCTGCAAAATACGAAACAGATTTAATGTGTAGGAGTTTAATTTTCAACAAAAAGGGGAGCGTGTCACTGTTGGCTGATGCAGATTGATGTTATTCGAGAGGGAATTGTTCAACAGCACAAATCAGATCACCCGTCGTTTTTATGATCAGACTGTGTTAAAACAAAGCTCAGGTTAAAGTCTTCAGACAGAGCAGTGCCTATAGTTAATGCCACATCCACAGGGAATGTTAATGTCTTGAGCTGCAAGTATCTGTAGGTTAAAGTGGGAAAAGGTCTGCGTTTGAGCATAGAGCTGCATTCAAGGGAAAATTTTGTGGATCATAATTTGATGTTTTGACTAAAATAGCAGAACAAGATCACCATTTGATTTTTATCACCCTATTGCCCAGTCTATGACAAATGGTATTGTTTTCTGTATTTGACCCATCCTTCAGTGCAACAGGGGTGACGTACCTGTCCAGCCAGAACCAAATGCTTTGAAAAAACTTGACAAAGACTCTCTGATTTCAGCAGTTGTGATTGACAGGCGGATTAACCAGTCAGAGAGACGCAGACTCCATTCACACATAAAAAAGGAGAAAAATCGAAATAAAAGAGTGAGAAACGGCATGGATTTTTACATAATCAACAATCAAAGCTATTACTTATTTGCAATTAGTGACAATGATGGAATTGTCTCAAGTTGTTTACTTAAATAAACAAGGACAAAACCAGTTCTAAACCAGGACTAAATGTGAACTAGCAGATTTAAATCGGACCTAAACCAGGACAGGGTCAGATTTGGTAAAAACAGCATTGAATAGAACTAAACCAAGATTATCTAGGTCTAAACCAGGAGTAAACCTGAACTAAACCAGGTATTAACCAGATCCATTTTAGACCATCTAAGTCTAAAACAAGACTAAAGCCCAGAACTAAACTAGGACTAAACCAGTTCTATATTCAGTCTGAGTATTTGACTAATGCCAGACGTACACGATTTTCGATAGTTTCACTCAGCCCCAGCTCAAACCGTACAACCAAATCGCAGGGTTTAAAAGTTCACAGCTCACGATTGATGTTCTCACACTGTATGAACG